ACACACACACACACAGAGACACACACAGACACACAGACACACACAGACACACAGACCACACAGACACACACAGACACACCAGACACACACAGACACACAGACACACACAGACACACACAGACACACACAGACACACACACACACCCACACACACACACACACACACAAAAGTTAAAAAAAGAAAAAAGGAAACACAAAGGGTACTACTGGGCATCCTCGACCCGGTGAAGGCGTTCCTAAATCGGATCCTCGTGAACCCAATCAGGGGGGGGGGGGGGGGGGCAAGAAGAAAACCATCACTACTCATTGCTTCGGAACCCCCCAAAATATCAAAGACTATTCTTCCATTTGCAGGGCAACCATCACTACTCATTGCTTAAGAATCTTAAGAACCCCCCAAAAAGTCAAAGCACATTCTTCCACATAAAGGGCAGTGTAAGGAGTTTTTTTCGGGGTTACGAACCCTGGCGTCCGGAATGGTCGGGTTTAGGCTCTGGTTTCACAGGGCATGGGCCTGAGTTTAGGGTTCAGGGTTTCAGGTTTGGGGTTCAGGGTTTGGGGCTTTCAGGGTTTAGGGCTAGGGTTTAGGGTTTAGGGTTCAAGGTTTAGGGTTTAGGGTTTAGGGTTTAGGGTTCAAGATCGGTTTGGGGTTTTAGGGGCTTCAGGGTCTTAAACGGTTTGAGGTAAGCACCCAAGAGAACCCCTCTCAAGGGAGCTGAGCGTCGAGTCTGAACGGAAGAATCAGCGCGATGTACAGCAGCAGCAAGGTGAGGTAGCAGTCCCACAGCAGTCCTCGAAGCTCACTTCTTTCGATTTCTTTTGGGTACTTAGGGTTTAGGGTTTAGGGTTTAGGGTTTAGGGCTTAGGGTTTAGGGTTTAGCTCAACCCTAAACCCTAAACCTCTATATTATGTATCATGTATGATATACAATGAATTGGTCAAAGTCAAAAAACATTGGGCAAGGTCATAAATAGATTGGGCAAGGTCATTAAAGCATTGGGCAAGGGTGCCAGACGATTTGCACGAAACCCTCGACCACAGCCCACTAAGCCCCATCTAGCGACCCGGTCTCCCCCTTGCTTGTGGTGTGGTGCTTGGGGTTTAGGGTTTGGTGTTTAGGGCTAGGGTTTAGGGTTTAGGGTTTAGGGCTAGGGTTTAGGGCTAGGGTTTAGGGTTGTAGGGTTTTAGGGGTTGGGAGGGTGGGGGGGACCGGCGATCATATATCCTGGCCCGATGTCCCAGGTTTGCGGCATCTCCGGACCCTAAACCCTAAACCCTAAACCCTAAACCCTAAACCCCAAACCCTGACCAAGGAATCCCCAAGGCTTCGCTTTAGTTGCCCTGCACCCTAAACCCTAAACCCTAAACCCTAAACCCTAAACCCTAAACCGTAGACCCTAAACCCTAAACCCTAAACCTTAAACCCTAAACTGCAGGGTTTGGCCCGTGAGATCCATCCCTCAAATCCTTACCCACCATGGCGCTGAGCCGTCAAAGCCCTAAACCCTAAACCCTTTCGAATACTGGGCACCGGGCAATCTCGCCAGCAAACCCTAAACCCTAAACCCTAAACCCTAAACCCTAAACCCCAAACCCTGACCAAGGAATCCCCAAGGCTTCGCTTTAGTTGCCCTGCACCCTAAACCCTAAACCCTAAACCCTAAACCCTAAACCCTAAACCCTAAACCCTAAACCGTAGACCCTAAACCCTAAACCCTAAACCTTAAACCCTAAACTGCAGGGTTTGGCCCGTGAGATCCATCCCTCAAATCCTTACCCACCATGGCGCTGAGCCGTCAAAGCCCTAAACCCTAAACCCTTTCGAATACTGGGCACCGGGCAATCTCGCCAGCAAACCCTAAACCCTAAACCCTAAACCCTAAACCCTAAACCCTAAACCCTAAACCCTAAACCCTAAACCCTAAACCCTAAACCCTAAACCCTAAACCCTAAACCCTAAACCCAAACCCTGACAAGGTCTCAGTTAGCCAAGTTGCTCTTCGAGGAGCGGAAGGACATCATGAACCTTCGGGTGAAGGCGTCGGGTTTTGGGAATGTTTTGGGGACCCGCCGCGAGGTTTAGGGTTTAGGGTTTAGGGTTTAGGGTTTAGGGTTTAGGGTTTAGGGTTTAGGGTTTAGGGTTTAGGGTTTAAAGACTTAGGACTCCACAAAGCGCCAAAGTGCAAAACACAGACACTTTGATGTTCAGGCACCACGTGACCCCAAAATTCCCAATCAATCGCCCCAACGCGAAACTCGAACTCGGCCTGAGTGCCTGGCTGCTGGACGACGCTATGCACCACAACGCATGCCCTATCGCAACCCTCCGACACCCCTAAAGCCTCCTAAACCTCTTCCTGCACCCTGACAACCCGAAACCCTAAACCCTCACCCTCAGACCGAGATGCATAGGCGGTGGATCATCTTGAGACAAGACCAAGGTGCCAGCCTTCCCAAAGAGAGGTGGCTTCAAAGGGGTTGGGCCATAGTAAACGATCCACAACTAGGATTAGGGGGATTAAAGAAACCCTAAAATTGGGGTCATATACCCTGTACTACGATACTTCTTATTCTGGTATGTGAACCATAAACACTTTTGGAGTTCATTCGCTTGGGGCGTTTCATCGCTCTCGCTCGATGTGACGTACACAACCTCGTCGGGAGGGGGAGGGGGGGGGGGAAAGGCGGAGGGGCCTAAACTACCCTAAACCCTAAACCCCAAACCCCAAACCCCAAACCCAAACCCTAAACCCTAAACCCACCCTAAAACACCCAGGCCTGGGCTTGCTTGACGATGGCACGCGCGAAGCTCTCAATCGTCCCAGATCGCCGCTCGCGGATCGCGACGCCTGGTCCGGTGTCGTGCTTAGGGCTTAGGGCATCAGAGGGTTTAGGGTCAGGAATTTCGGGCTTAGGGTTTAGGGGTTTCGGGTTTAGGGTTAGGAATCTCGGGTTTAGGGTTGACCCTATTATAGTCCCCTGCTTGGTTCTTGTCTCCCAAGCCCCTTGTCAACCCTGCCAAAAAGGCCTCTTCCACTTCGCTGGGGACCACATGCACCCTAAACTTTGGGTCATAGACCCTGTACTACTACAGCTTCTGTTCAGGTATATGCACCATAAACCCGAAAATTGGGGTCATAGACCCTATACTTCTATAATTAGCTCCATTTACGGTATATGAACCATAAACCCTTCTAGGGTTCATTTGGTCTCCAAGGTTCCATTCCTTCGCTTGAAGAACGGCATAAATGGGCTGCATCCCTCAACTTTAGAATTCAAGAGAGTCAGCCCTACACCCTGGTCCCTAGTCACCGCCCTCACAGTTGTCCAAAGGCCATCGGAACGATGACATTCTTGGGTTTTGGGGCACATTTGGGTTTAGGGTTTAGGGTTTAGGGTTTAGGGTTTAGGATTTAGTGGCCCACAAGGCATGGAAGACTCGGGCGCGCAAGACACGTCCCCCCGCTACCATTCTGCGGTAGCAAGCTGGAACGGCAGTACTTCGCTGCATGCTCCTCAGGTTTAGGGTCTAGGGTTTATGGTTCAGGGCTTTTTTGCTACCCGCCAAGCAGACCAGCCATGCAGGGTAACGTTTTTGGCATGATTGAGACAGCAGCAAATTCACTGGCTTTCGAAGCGCCAGAAGCTCTACATGCAAAAAGCCGGTGGGCGCGTCGGCGTGGACGCAAACAGCGTGCGCGCGACAGGATGTCAGAAATCTGCAGATTAAGCTTGGCTATTAGGTATGACTGTATAACCCATAAAACTGGAGGTAAAAAGGGTCCCCAGGTAATGGCTATAGGGCAGGCTGAACATCAACGATAATTACACATCTCGAGACGGACATCTGCGCCTGAGGCCAAAGGCTCGTTGGCGGCATCTCGTGGTGTTGGTGCTGGGTGAAAACTTATCCCTAAACTCTAAACCCTAAACCCTAAACCCTAAACCCTAGACCCTAGACCCTAGACCCTAAACCCTGAACCCTAAACCCTAAACCCTAAACCCTAAACCAAGGCAGCGAACCATGGCTGACATGAAACCCTAAAGGACTCTCAACCCGTAAAACTCAACCCAAGACCTCCCAGCACTAAGCCTCGTCATCCCCCCTTTTCTTGCGGGGATGGGCGAGCCGCTCAAACTTGAAAAGGACTGCGAAGCAATGATTTGTGGCTCTGGCTTGGGCCTACATGGATTAGGGTTTGGGTTAGGCTTGTTTTTTTGCCATCCCCAGGGTTTAGGGTTTAGGGTTTAGGGCTTAGGGCTTAGGGTTTAGGGTTTAGGGTTTAGGGTTTGTTTAGGGCATTCAAGAATATTCAATGACATTGAGGGCATTTTGGAAGCTAGGACTCTAGCAATAGCTGAGGAGTTCCGCTGCGTTGCCGTCCAGAGCCGGGGACAGGAAACCCTGGCATTGCCAGGGGCAAAACGAAAAACAAGCTGCCTGGCAGTTGCTGGTTGAAGGGGCTGACATTAGGGTTTAGGGTTTAAGGTTCAGGGTTCAGGGCTGACATGAAGTGGGGCTTGTGCTACGGCTTTTGCGGCTTGGGGTTTAGGGTACCACCAGACGGTACTTGTTCCAAAGGCTGGGCCGTTCTGTGAGAAGCTTCCATGGATGTGGAGGACCACAGCTATTGATTGTGCCGGCCGGAGAGGAAGGCGTACACATGGGAACTACAATTTTCAGGTGATCGCGGTCAGCACGTCCTACAGCAAACCACGAGCAAGACTAGTTCATGGAGTTGCTTGGCAACCCGGCTTTGATCCCACGTCGATTCAGTGAAATGTGAAACCAGAACGGACCCAGCATGTCCGTAACCAAGTCCTGTCTTCTTCTGTCAGCAGAGGAGATTCTGCGACTGCTTCCAGGCACAGGTTTTTGTGGGGAAGGAGAACCTTGCTGATGTCAGGACATGGCTTGAACATGCGCATCTACTCCCTTGTCTCACTTCCCACGTCTGCAGGCAATGATCTTCGATTTCACTTGTGCCTCGGCTCCGGCTCAGGCAGCCTCTGCAGCAGGCTCAGCAGGAGGGGCCTCCTCACCTGCGGGCGCCTCGGCTGCTGGTGCCTCTGGGGCTGCCTCCGCTGCTGGCGCCTCGGCTGCTGGCGCCTCTGCTGGCGCCTCTGCTGGCGCCTCGGCCGCCGGAGTCTCGGCAGCCGGGGCTTCGGCGGCCACCTCAACCGGGGTTTCGCCCGTGGCTGCAGGCGTCTCCTCTGGGACCGTCTTTGCCTCTTCGACAGCTTCGGCGGGCTTGGCCTCTTCCGGAGCTGCCGGGGATTCGGCTGGGGCTTCCGTGGTGGGTGTGGCCTCGGTGGCTCCTTCCACGGTCTTTGTGTCCTCTTCCTTCTTCCCCTCGTTCTCGGCGTTGCCTTCACTCTTGGGTTCCTCGGTGGCCTTGGCCTCCCCGGTGGCCTTGCTCTCCTGCGCCGGCGTCACAACCACGCTGGGGGCCTCACCCTTCTTCTCCTCAGCAGCTGTGGTGGCCGCGGCATCGGTCTTCTGGGCAGAGGCACCGCAACCCATGGTCTTCGAAGAAAGTCTGCTGGGAGCACGGGGCGCGAGCTAGTATTGTAAAGCCACAGCTGCAAGGCTGGCGATCTCTCAACATGCAGGATGCCCTCGGCTTCATCATTCCACGTCACCATCACTCTACACACTCCCTCACGCCCGTAACCCCTAAACCCCTACACCGCCTAAACCCTAAACCCTAAACGCTATACCCTTGTAAACCCTAAACCCAAAACTCTAAACCCTAAATCCTAAATCCCAAACCGAGCCCCTTCCTGTACAAGGCTTCAGGGTTTAGGCTGAAGGGTTTAGGGTTTAGGCTCAAGGGTTCAGGGTTTAGGTTTTAGGGTTTAGGGTTTAGGGTTAAGTGTCGGGGGCCGGTAGGCTTGGAGGTCACCGGGGTGAGGGATGCGACGCTTTGGGGGGGGGGGGGTTCAGGGTTTGAGGGTTAAGAATTCTCAGGTTCCGGGGTTTTCGGGAGAAAAAAATAGAATGATAGGGCTTTAGGTATGTTTTGGGTTGCGGATTGGAGGCTTAAGGTTTTTGAGCTTCGGATTGTAGGTTTGCAGTTTACCGGATTTAGAGTAGAGCGTTGGGCGCTGCAGGGTTAAGTGGGACTCTATTCCTACAGTTGAGTAGTAACTACTGTTACTTAATAGGTATAACTGTATACCCCATAAGACTGTAGGTAAAGAGGTTCCCAGACAGGAGACGAGGAGTTGCCCAAACGACAGCCAAACGTCTTCGTGCGGCCGAGGGTGCTGTCAATCGATTGAACCCACTCTTGCAGCTCTATCTTGCCTTCAAGAAGAGTCGAGGACAAAAGAGTGGTAGGATCGAGGGTCTACCCTACACTCTTAACCCCAAACCCTAAAACCTATAACCCGAAACCCTAAACCCTAAACCCTAAACCCACTCAACTGGCAACCGCCCTAAGCCCTAAACCTGGGCATCTTTTGGAAGACCTTACGCTGAGGATTGCTTGCTACGCCGAGTCTTCTTCAACCTTGCGGGTTTGAAGGGTTTTCCATGGAGGTACAGACTACGTATACCAGAGGGAGCTTCGGCCGCACCTTATAACCCTAAACCCTAAACCCTAAACCCTAAACCCTAAACCCTAAACCCCAAACCCCAAACCCCAAACCCCAAACCCCCCCCCCCCCCTAAGTCCCCCAAGTAGGTTCTGCGTAGACCCAGACTTGGGGCCCATGAACCTCCATGTACTTAAAACCCTTACCCTAAACCCTAAACCCTAAACCCTAAACCCTAAACCCTAAACCCCTAAACCCCTAAACCCCTAAACCCCTAAGTTGTAGAGGGCCCCCCGGCAGCCCTCGACATGGTGCTTCCATAGTAGGGCTGAGGCTTCGCAAGATTCCTGCTTAGGGTTTAGGGTTTAGGGTTTAGGGTTTAGGGTTTAGGGTTTAGGGTTTAGGGTTTAGGGTTAGCCCTTACCTTGGGGGGACCAGGTGAACCCTAAGATTGGGGTCATAGACCCTGTACTACTAGAATCCGTATGAATACATTAAGGTCATATGTGTGCCATAAACCCTTGTAGGGTTCAAGTGGTCCCCAAAAGCACGTCAATCTCTGCCCTAGTGCGTCTTAACGTGGCTCGCGCAAGCTGTGCGCCCTAAACCCTAAACCCTAAACCCTAAACCCTAAACCCTAAACCCTAAACCCTAAACCCTAAACCCTAAACCCTAAACACACATATCCCAGTCCCTTCTCACCGAGTTGCCGTTTTTGTTGGTATCGAGTGTCTGCAGCAGCCGATGGGCTCGGCCTGGATGTTGCCTGGGTTTAGGGTTTAGGGTTTAGGGTCTAGGGTTTAGGGTTTAGGGTATAGGGTTTAGGATTGAGGGTCTAGGGTTTAAGGTTGAGGGCTTAGGGTTGGGGTTTAGGGGTTTGGGGTTTGGGGTTCGGGGTTTGGGGGTTGTGCTTGGATCCTCCTAGGAACCCCGGGATGGCCCTCAAGACCCTCTGAAAAAGACATATTCCTGCATGTGATCCTCTTAAATAACCCAATAAAGGGGAGACATTAAAACAAAATCCCAACAGGGCCTACCGAGCCTAGTAGAGACATTTAAAAATTCCCAAAAGGGCCTACCGAGCCTAGCAAATTACTACCCCCCCTAGTATTAAACACACCCGTTATAGTTCATGTTATAGTATAGGGTTTTTTTGCTATTTAGGGAAGTATGAAATACACCCATTACAGTTTATGCTATAGAATAGGGCTTGTTACTATACTAGGGGAGGGGGGGTTTCATATTCGGGGGGAGGGGATTACTCAGGTCTGCCAAGCCACCCCACGGCACGTAGTCCCCGCCGGAGCTCGGCAGCATCGATGACCCCTGACTTGTCCAAGTCAAGCCTGGGATGTCTTTTTTGTTTCTCTCTCTCTCTCTATGTATATGTACATATTAATATATACATATACATATATAGATTTATAACATAGTTTCTATTGTATGGTTCTTTCTAGTGTGGGGGTCTTCCGAAACTGAGGGTACCGATTTGAGGGTCCCTCTACAGGGCCCCACATCCCGCAAAGCCCACTACCCGAAGCCCTAAACCCTAAACCCTAAACCCTAAACCCTAAACCCAAAAAAAAACAGCATCCGAGACCCTAAACCCTACACCGGCTTGGGTCCTGGGGATCCGTTTCAGCTGCTCACAGCGATCTTGCTGATGCGTTGCGTTGTTCTTCAACGTCTTGCCCTGGAAGCCCTTGGAGAAAAAACTGTTCCTATGTAAGAGATCCTCTTACACCCAATATGAGGGAACAGATGAACACATCCAAGCATCAACGAAGGATGCGGCTCTGGCCCGACTTCTACCAGACCAGAATAGGCTATTAGGCCTTAAAAGTCCCATAGTGAATCCTGTAGAGGGCCTTTTAAGGGATTGCAGGGTATAATAGCCCATCGCGGGAAGGAGGACCCCGAGACTTAAAACTCTCCTGTCCTATTTCTGTTTCCTCGCCTTGTGCTTCGGGCAGTGACAACCCAACACCTTGAACCCTCAAAGCCTTAACCCTCGAATCTTCACCCCCTTACCCTAAACCCTAAACCCTGAACCCTCAAACCTCCGAGGTACCCAAGAGATCCATACTGCTGCCTCTGCGACGTTGAAAGCAACTGGCTCCCCTAGCCCCTCAAGCCTTACAGCCCGCGCCCTGCCACCCCAGTCGAATAATCACACGGTTTAGGGTTTAGGGTAATCTTCAGGAACTTCCGCATTCGGCAACATGAACGTGGTGAACGCCTGGCCTTGCTTCACTTTCATCTGAATCTTACATTTTCGCAAGCCCTGAACTGCGCTTCTTGTGGGGCTAAACCCTACACCCTACACCCTAAACCCTAAACCCTAAACCCTAAACCCTAAACCCTAAACCCTAAACCCTAAACCCTAAACCCTAAACCCTAAACTCATTTCGAAGGCTTCAATCTCAGCAGCTTGTGGAAGAGGTCGATAAGCATCGACCGGTTCCTCGGCTCCCAAGGTCGTCAGGGTTTAGGGTTTAGGGTTTAGGGTTTAGGGTTTAGGGTTTAGGGTTTAGGGTTTAGGGTTTAGGGTTTAGGGTTTAGGGTTTAGGGTTTAGGCAACTCGAGTGTACCCAGATAGATATACCCCTTTGGATAGAGGTTTGGGAAACCCGAAGGCCTGAACTGTAAACCCTAAACCCTAAACCCTAAACCCTTCACTGCCCTAAACCCTAAACCCGAAACCCTAAACCCTACTCAATTAACCCTAACCCCTAAACCCGAAGGCCCTCAAACCTGCAAATGCGTCCCCCGTCCCCTCTCCAAAATGGAGCACGAAGATGGGTTTAGGGTTCACAAGCTTCCGCGAAAGCCCCGAAACCCCATTAAACCCTGAAACCCTTGAACCCTTTTCCCCTTTTTGAATCGTGCTGAGGCCGAGGCATGTGACGGGAAGGGCATACACTAGCGCTCTCCGAGCAGCCAAGCAAACCCAAGACTATTCAAATTAACCCGGCGCATACTCATGCAATCCCCTAAACCCCTAAACCCTTAAACCCCTTAAACCTTAAACCCTTGAACCCTCTAACCCTAAACCCCTAAATAAACCCTTAAACCCCTTAAACCTTAAACCCTTGAACCCTCTAACCCTAAACCCCGAAGCCCTATAAACTTAAGGGGGCGAAGGCAACCCAAGGTTTTCTAGTACTCCGCACTAGTCCCTAAGGCTACCTAAGCTTCCCTAACTTTCTCTATGTACCTACCCCGCATGAAGCCCCAAGTACGGAAAGATACAAGAAAAACAACTACAAGAAAAACAACTAAAGTCCTAAACCCTAAACCCTAAACCCTAGACCCTAGACCCTATACCCTAAAGGCCCAGGCGCTGGGCTAGCGCCTCGGGGAGGGACGTCGACTTCGTGGAGAACTTCGAGAAATTGCTCGGGGCGTCCTCGTGTCGCGGCTTTTTGGGGCTTTCGGGTCTAAAGGGGTTTAGAGTTTGGGGTTTAGGGTGACGATTATATTGGGATGCAAAAGGGTTTGGGGTTAGGGTTTAGGGCTTTAGGGTTTTAGGGTTGTGGGGTTTCAAGTTGCGCGGTTTAGGGTACGGGGCTTGGGGGTTAAGGTCTTAAAGCTTCTAAGATTTAGGGTCCTCGACCCTTCGCCCCCCAAACCTGATCCTCCGACTTGCCTCTGTCTAGCCTTAACCCCTTAGACATCAAGGCCCGGAGCCCCCCAAATGGGGTTTAGGGTTTAGGGTTTAGGGTTTAGGGTTAAAAACCCTAAAGCCCCAAATTCCCCCCTAGCCTCGAGCCACTAAGTAGATCAACCATCCCGAATCTAAACCCTAAGCCCTAAGCCCTAAACCCTAAACCCTAAACCCTAAACCCTAAAAACATTGGGGGCTTTTGAGTTGAGGACTTCGGGTGTTTTTTCCAAGGGCTCGAACATGGTCGAGCGTTCAGGTTCCGAGCCCAAGACACCTCAAAGGGTTTAGGGTTTAGGGTTTAGGGTTTGGGGTTTGGGGTTTAGGGTTTAGGGTTCAGGGTTTAGAGGAGAAAGAAGGTTCAGCTCTAGTCTAGGCTTCACCTTGGGAACCAACCATGAGTACCAAAAGGGTTTAGGGCTTCACCTTGCCCTTCATCGGACTTATAGTAGTATATAGAATATACAGGGGTAGTATAGGGTACATGACCCCAAACTTGACAGTTCATCTGGTTTCCAGGATTAGAATACCTAGGGAGAGAGACGCTAAACCCTAAACCCTAAACCCTAAACCCTAAACCCTAAACCCTAAACCCTAAACCCTAAACCCTAAACCCTAAACCCTAAACCCTAAACCCTAAACCCTAAACCCTGAACCCTAAGGTTTTCAGCTGCGCATCCTGGAGCTTCGCAGTCTTTTCTTGGCTGCACTCAGGAGGGTAGCTATAAATTAAACTTTTAGCTGCCTTATTAAGAAACCCAATAAACCCCCAAAAAAGGTAAGGATCTAAAGTTACGGTAAAGTACCACAAAGTTTTGATCCGGTCGCAGAGCCGACTTTTTCGAAGTAGGCCACGCCACACCGTGTTGGTGTCTCGTAGCTGAAGGAAAGACAGCAGTGATAGCAGAATGCACGCCCTCGCCCATGCGCGAAACATCAATAATTGCAACCCTAAACCCTAAACCCCAAACCCCCAAACCCCAAACCCTAAACCCTGAACCCCAAACCCTAAACCCTAAACCCTAAACTACACGCACCAAGGGCCCGGGGCCTCAGATAAATTCTGTGCAAAACAAATTTGGCCCTTAAGCTCAGCGAAGGAAAGCATCCTCGCAGCCGGCTGCCTAGCCAGATTTGAAGACCAAGATGGCCACCTTGGGGGGGACTAATTATGAACCCCCAAAAAGGGTTTAGGGTTTAGGGTTTAGGGTTCATATACCTTACTAGGGGTTATAGTAGCATAGGGTATATGAATCCTGACTTTAGGGTTCCTTTGGTGCCCAAGGCACTTGTCCGAGGTAGAAGTAGATGAAATGCTTGGTCTCGTGCGTGACGTAGGAGCCGAAGTTTCTGCCAACCACGCAGTGCCAGGTCGGGTTGTACTTCTTGTCAAACCTTCGTGCTGCCCAACCAAGGGGCTTTCCTGCCCTAAACCCTAAACCCGGAACCCAAAACCCCAACTAAACCCTAAACCCTAAGCCCTTTTTGTGAACCCAGGCTCTGAGCATCAGCTGGGACCACCAAGCACTAGACTAAACCCTAAACCCTAAATCCTAACCCACACCACATCTTCTCAAGCCAAATATAAACTTCATGATGTAGGGAACTTTTGTGGGGGGGTACCAGCCTATAAGGGTACGCGGCGATTCTAAGAACAGCATGGGGCCCGAAGGGGCAGTTTAGGGCTTAGGGTTTAATTAGGGTTTAGGTTTAGGGGTTTAGGGTTTAGGGTTTTAGGGTTTAGGGCTTAGGGTTTAATTAGGGTTTAGGTTTAGGGCTTTAGGGTTTAGGGTGTTTGCCACCCGCCAAGCAGTCCAGCCGCACTGCAGGGTAACATTTCGGGGCGATGTACAACTTCAAATGTTTCACTACTATGTCTCCGCTTCCTCTAGGGTTTAGGGTGCATCCTAGAGACTCTTTCTTGATGAAGGCGGCAATGTCCTTCTCGATGTTGTACTTCTCAAGGGCCTGTGTGGCGCAGTCAATGGCATCCTGCTGCATGTCCTTAACTGGGGGGTTTACGAAAATCAGGGAACCCCAATATAGACCCCGAATGATATTAGGAATCCCTTTTAAGGACCCCCAATAAGGTACCCCCTAATTTTGGAAACCCAACTGGCTCAGCTTCCTAGGGTTCAAGGGTTCAGGCTTAAGGGCTTGAAAATGCGCAACCTTTGAGGAATGAGGAGTGGACTACGGTACCCAAGAAGGGTAATAGCGCCACCTGCTGCACTCCAAGTATCCTCCGCCATGTCTGCGTTCTTGATGACAGCTTTCCGGTCAGCCATGGCGCACTGGATTGCGGAAGACGTGCGTGGGCCACGAGGTGGGTTTGCAAACGATGCTTGAGCCGCAGGCTCATGAACCTAGGACTCATAGGCAACAGTAACATGCCTTTGCGTCAGAGGCTTCTGACGTTAGGTATGAAAGCGTGCCAAGTTGCGGAAGCTTCGCCACCATCGTCCTTGAAGGGACTATAGCAAGCCAGGGGGTACAGGTGTTGAAGCACTTTGAAAGCTGCAGAATGTTCGAGTCAAAACTAGTCCTAAGCACTATACTGACACTAAACCAATTCAAGCTCGAAAGCGGATAGGAACTTCAGAATTTATATAGAAACTAGGTTGACTTCAGAGGCGTCCTCTGCATTGCGTTTGTTCTTGCAACTCGCCTATTGCGGGGATTGATGCGCGGGGTTTAGGGTCGGGTGTGTCCCTCCCAACACCCCGGCGCTGAACTACATATTTTGGGCGAAGTGTTTGAAAAGGTCAGTTCAGAGTTTGTGTTTCGGCTGCTCAAAGCTACGGCCCCCCGAGTCATGTACTGCCGATCAAAGACGGTGACAAGAAGGGTGAGTGTGGCGCGCCTAAACTCAACTACGATTTGCTTGAGAACCCCAAACGATTAAAATTGTTCTTCCTAAGGGTAATATAGGGATGATATTTGTTCCATGTTTTGGGGGTTCTTAAGCAAATCGTAGTAAATAATTTCCAGTATCATCAGGTACCCCCTACTTAGAACTAGTAAGGCAGAAGCCCTATTCACCCGAATAAGCCCTACAAGCCCTGTAAGGTACCATATGAAGCCCAACAGCCCTCTTAACCCAATAAACCCTACAAGCCCTTTAAAACCCTGTAGTCCAGGGTTTTGCACTAGTCCTCTCCTCCTGGTCGTGCAGAGAAGGAGAGAAGTCTCTGCTTGAATCTCTGTCTGTAGGGTTCGGGGTTTCGACACTAGGGCCATATCATCCAAGTTGCCACCTGGTTCCACAGCTCTTCCTGGGCTGTCAACTGCATGGTACCCTGGCCCCCTCACCTAACTGCCTTCCCCGGTTCTTCTTTCTGACTAGAACTATCAACCTCTGCTAAGTCCCCTTGTTCTTAAGTTATTGCTCACTTTAGGAACCCTTGACCCGAACCCCCCCCCCCCCCCCCCCCCCCCCCCCCGGTTGTAACCTTACACGGCCACTCAATGAACCTGCAGGGTGCTCCAGCACCCTGCAGTTGCTTTTTCTGGCCTTGAGGGCTTTGGATTTCGGATGTAGGGCCAAAAGGGTTTAGGGTTTAGGGTTTAGGGTTTAGGGTTTAGGGTTTAGGGTTTAGGATGACCCCTGAGATGCCGCATCAAGACCTAACATGTTATGTGCCTGGCTCCCGGAAGACTGCTTTCCTGGCCTGAAGTCCCCACCAAGCACTCTCCTGGCAGACCTACATTCCTTAGGCCCGGTGTGGCCCTTTGCTTAGCTCCTGTTGGGTTTAGGGTTTAGGGTTTAGGGTTTAGGGTTTAGGGTTTAGGGTTTAGGGTTTAGGGTTTAGGGTTTAGGGTTTAGGGTTTAGGGTTTAGGGCCATTCAGGGCGTCTCTTTCGAGATATCCGCACAAACTTTCACCGGCAGATCTGCGGCTCAGGAAGGTGTTTGCTCAAAGGTTTTCAAAAGCTATGCGCTGCCACACTTTTGAGTACCTCAAAAAGCCCTGAACCCAAAACACTCTATCCTAACCGCCCGCCACCCCCCTCATCCCCCACCCCCCCGCCCAAGCCCAAACCCAACCCTAAACTTCCTAAACCCTAAAAGCCTAAACGCCCTATCCAACCTAAACCCCCGAAACCCTAACCCCAACCAACCCCAAGAACCCACCCTAAACCCCAAACTTAACCCAAAACCAAGGGATCAGGGTTTAGGGTCTAGGGTTTATGGTTTTGGGTTTAGGGTTCAGCCCAAAACCAAAACCCCTGAAAACCCTAAAAAACCTCAAACCCCAAAGCACCCCAACGGCGACCCCGATGTCTGAAAAAACTTCAAGTCCTACGCAAGGCCTTACCGGGTTTGGGTTTAGGGTTTAGGGTTTAGGGTTTAGGGTTTAGGGTTTAGGGTTTAGGGTTTAGGGTTTAGGGTTTAGGGTTTAGGGTTTAGGGTTTAGGGTTTAGGGTTTAGGGTTTAGGGTTTAGGGTTAGGTTTAGGGTTTAGGGTTTAGGGTTTAGGGTTTAGGGTTTAGGGTTTAGGGTTTAGGGTTTAGGGTTTAGGGTTTAGGGTTTAGGGTTTAGGGTTCAACCACTTCCTGTTGCCCAAGGTGCTATGGCTTCCATTTGCTCCGCCGTGGGCCCCTCCGGAGCCGGCGGTGCCGTGGGTCTGATCGGCTTCCCCCTGGGCTTTGGGTGGCTTAGGGTTTAGGGTTTAGGGTTTAGGGTTCTAGGGGTTGGGGTCTAGGGTGGCGTAAGCCCCGAACCCACACCCCCCGGCTCCCCCGAAAAAAAGACAAAGTCCCAAAGCCCCAAGCCCTAAACCAAACCCCTGAACCCTCTAAACTCTTCAAGCCCCACGGCCCTGAACCCGAAGCCCTGAAATGCCCAGTTTGGGAGGCGTATCCTCTGTGTCCAAGCAGCGAGGGCGTCTCTAGTGACTAACACTTGAAAGCCACCACCCTAAACCCTAAACCCTAAACCCTAAACCCTAAACCCTAAACCCTAAACCCTAAACCCTAAACCCTAAGCCCCAAACCCCAAACCCCAAACCCTAAACCCTAAACCCTAAACCGGCATCATCTCTCGTGGATATTCTTTCCGTCTCCTGAACCATGAACACTGCCGAACATCCAGCCCACCAGGATGGGCCATCAGGCCTTATAATCCCCACAGACAACCAAAAAAAGCCCTGGCCCTGACCCTAAACCCTAAACCCTAAACCCTAAACCCTAAACCCTAAACCCTAAACCCTAAACCCTAAACCCTAAACCCTAAACCCTAAACCCTAAACCCTAAACCTGCAACCAAGGCGCCCTGACACATCGCAAATTTCCGAGCCGATGTCTCGCAAAGTTTCTGCGGCACGTGCGGGTGCAAAGCTTGGGGTTAGGACTCTTGGTCCAGGGCGGGTTTAGGGTTTAGGGTTTAGGGTTTAGGGTTTAGGGTTTAGGGTTTAGGGTTTAGGGTTTAGGGTTTAGGGTTTAGGGTTTAGGGTTTAGGGTTTAGGGTTTAGGGTTTAGGGTTCGACACAAGGGTTTATGCCAGGACTAAGGTGGAGATCTGGACAAGAAGAGATCACCTCTTTAGCCCAGCCCTTGGGGGCACATATCACTCGAGAAATGAATTTACCCCCCCCCCCCCCCCCCGCCCCACCAAATAAATACACGTATAAAATAAAACTAAACTAACCGAACATGCCTCCAGGATACACGAACCCCCCCCCCCCCCCCCCTCCCCCCCAAAAAAAGAACAAACACACACACACACACACATGTACACCTCAAGGAAATGGAGGTTCATGTAGATGTGCGGAAGCTTCGGCTTTCGGCGGAGGTTGTGGTAAGATAAGAATCAGACCCCACTGCTGACAACCCTGCTCCTGCCCGGCACAATGCATAACCATTCTTGGTAGCCACATTGAGCTCTGACTCCCTTAATTAACCCGGCGATAGCAATGATCGACGACGATGATGATGATGATGACGACGAGATGATGATATCAACTCGTGAAGCTTAGGTTTACAGGATTCGCTCCGGTTTCGACAGATTTACACATAACGTTGTAGGGGCGGAGGAGTCGCACCGGGAGTTGTGGTGTTGAGTGCGCAGGGAGAAAGTGGATAGGATTGAGCCCCCAGCCCCAAATCCCAGTACTCGTGCCGCCGAAGCAACGACTTTCCTCTTCGGAGATTGCCTGGACCTGGGTCAAGAAGTGGTTTTGGGGTGCAGGGTTTAGGACTTCGCTTTCGTTGTCTAGTGCAGTTGGTTTGAGAAAGGCTTGTCGCGGCCTGGATTGCGTGATGCTCCTGACCCTTGGGGACCAGATGAAACTACAAACTTTTCGGGTTTATACGGTTCTCTTAGGTGCTGAGTTCATGAGCCCCCCCAAAGGTCTACACTTTCAGTTCTCTAGGGGGATTATAGTATCCCAAAAAAGTGTAAAGTGTGCTCACTCAGCTATGAAGTTCTGATTACCCTATAAATAATTTAATAAGGACATTATAGCAGCGTAGGGCCCATGAGCCGATTTTGGGGTTCACCTTCACAATTCGAGGCGCCCCAAATCTGGACCGAAGATCTGCCTTCTCAAGACTCCAAGACCTCAGAAAAAAGAAATCCTTTGGGTTTAGGGTTTAGGGTTTAGGGTTTAGGGGTAGAGGGTTTGCGGATCTACAACCTGGATGCTCTAAACCCTAAACCCTAAACCTGAAACCCTGCACCCCCGAAAGCCCTTCAAAAGGTTCGGGCCAAAGAAGCCTTCGAGGCGGCTTGAAGGTTTTTCAATGCCAGCCGAAGGTGGGAGATCGCAACTTCGACCTCCAGGGGGGTTTTAGGGTTGCTTGCATTTAGGTTTAGGGTTTAGGGTCGGGGTTTAGGGTTTAGGGTTTAGGGTTTAGGGTTTAAGGTTTAGGGTTTAAGGTTTAGGGTTTAGGGATAATCAATACCACATAGGATGTTCCCCCTATACTAAGAGTGCTTGATAGGGATGATACCAGGGGGGGGGGTACTGTCATCCCTGTTTACACTACTAATGACGATAAACATAGTTGAAATAATGCCAATCATGATCATCGTAATATAGCAATGACCGGAACCATGGAAGTGCTCGTAGGGACAGGTAGGAACCGTAGGTAGTAAGCATCGTTTCAATCATAACCCTTAAGCCTTAACCCTAAACCCTAAACCCTGAACCCTAAGATCAGGGACGCGTGCTCGAAGGCCAGGACATGCGACGGCTTTGGAGCACTGACCACAGCTGAAGCGGCACAGCACCCTTGGCAACCAAATGAACTCCCAAAAGGGCTTAAGGGTATTCGGGGTTTAGGGTG